ATACAAAAAAAAATCATAAACTTTATTTACTCTGTCTAAAAACTAAATATGTTTTCTATTTTACCCGCATTAAATGCTTCATTTGAAAAGTTTCCTGCTTTCTTATCACACACATATATTTATATCGTTGATTATATGTCGTGTTTTATGCTTCAACTCAATTAATCAGTGTAAGTTTTACGTCTACGATGTCACTGTTCGAGTCAAAGTCGCTCTAAATAATATAAGAATGGAAAGCTATTATGTTACAAATTCCACAAATATATTTTAATATTTTGTAAGTTTTATAAGTATGTAGTAATGTTTTAAAAACCAGACCAAACATTGAACTGAAAAGAGCAATGGTTCATAGTTCAACTAGTTAGATTGATTGTCAGACCAAAATGACATAATAATTAAATAAATTTAATATTATATACCTATATGACAATACAGGTATAAGAAATAAAATGTCAAATTCTTGAAAAAGTTAAGAAAAAACTTAAATACCTCAATTTTATAATGAGTTAACAGGCTCACGTAATATTAATATATCTCAAATTACAAAATCTTGTAAAATAATATACTAAATATAGATAACTTAATAGTAAACATTTTACATAAAAATAAAATATCAGAATATGCAAATACATTTTTAAATAAAAATAAAATTTAAATCATAAAAAAAAAGGAAAAATGCATAATTGAAGATCTCCCACCCAAAAAAAATCATATTTAGAAAAAAAAAAAAGACCCTTGATAGACGAGGGTGATGTGGTCGGCGTTAAATTAAGGTTATTTACTTTTACTGCTTTACAGTAGTCAAAGCAATTTTTCTCTCTCTACAATTTCACACCATCAGACATTCAGGAGACCATCTAAAGCCGTCGTGGCTTTCATTTTTCTCGTCCATGGCCATCGCAGCTTGCGATATTGGAGGATTTGAGGGTTTTAAGGTTTTTTTTTTTTTTGCCTCCTTCAATGCTATCTTCTTCCATCTTTCCTGATTTCCTTTCTTCTTCTTCTTCGGTTTGTTTGGTCTTAAATCAGATCTTTTTTTTTTTTCAAATTCACAACTCCACAGGTGCATAACAGATTCAGGCTATCTGTTTTTGCAAAACCATTCCGGTTCCCAGTCCAAATGCTGGCTTAAAGTGACTTGAAACGGCTCAATTGATAGAGCGGGTGAACTATGCTAACCAAATCAGAGAGGGCTCCGGCCACCGGCCAGACCAGTCCAACCATTCAGTCCAATGCGGTTTGGTTTTTAATTCATTGGTCCGTAACTCTATTCGTACACAACACAACTTCTTCATTTAATTATTCATCTGGTTTAATGATTTAAGATTGCTAATTGTAGCGTTAAATTAAATATACTATTTATTTAATTACTACCACAAAAAATTATTATATTTTTTTTGAGCTGAAATTTTTTAAAAAAATGTACATGGAGAAGTGTACGTATTGAGGAAATTGGGGAGAGAATCCAAATTTGCGAGGAAGACTAATAACGCAACAGGTCCCTTTTCTTGATGGGTCAAGACAATTTGTTTTGTCTTTTTGATCATTCTGCGCACTCGTGTCATGGTTAATAATTTTCATATAATATCAAACAATACCCATACTGAATCAAAACAGAGCTAGAATGGGTTGAAATAAATTACATTGAAGCAAGCTTTCATCCATTGTAAGCAAAAGATGGAGAAAATGTTGGAGAGAAACAACCCACTTGAGCCAAGATGCAACTTTCTAAGGTTTGATCCGTAGAGCTCATTATTATTAATCTTTTACGTACAGTTTGATTGAATTTTAGTTTTGGTTGTGTTTTTCTAATTTTAAATTGTGATTTTTAATTCTAATTTGTAAGGACTTAATTTGAGTTAATGGCATTAAGTGTATGCACCAAAACCAAATTCATCTGTTTCCTATACTTTTAATACGTTTTAATTTTAGTCTTTATACTAACTAAAAGTTAAAGTATTAAATTTAGACTAGGTACATATGATATTATAGGGACTAAAAATCATGGTTTAAAACTATATATAGAGACTCTAGTAAATTTTAATTAAATTGTAAGGATCGTATAATGGCACTAACCCTTGTTTATATTATCTACTGAGCATATGCTCATGTTAGTAACAGAATTAGAACAACAATATGCATGCCATTCTTCAAAGTTTTTAATAGAATGCTTACAAAATTTTATTTATCACAACAATAGCTTGTTGAATCATAGTAGCAGATTACCTGGCTATAATCAGCCTGTCAAATTAAAAAGCTAAAATAACAACTAAAAGAATAAATGACAAATTGATTGATCTCTAGAAATAATATCAATATGGAGCATGACTACAAAATTTTTAATCCAGGTGTTCTTTTTCTCTATATTTCTATGCTTAATTTCCTTAATCTTTTCCCGATCAACAAGGACGTGGTGGGGATTCGACTTTGCCGTGTGGTCAGTGGACCTAAAAGAAAAATAATGAACCAGGAAAAGTCATTCTTTTCTTGGAATAAAACAAGTCCATTAAAATACTACTTCTGATTCTTAATATAAGAGCTAGTTGACTAATTTAAGTAAATTTAAAAAATTAGTTAAGTTAGTTATTTGTAATAAATATGTATTGTCTTACTTAAAATACCATTACTAATTATATATCTTGGTTAGAACTACTATGTAATAAAATTGCTAACATATGCAATTATTGTAAGGAGTATTTTTAGAAAAAATGAATAAATATGAGATAAGGTTGATTAAAGTCTTATATTTAGGAGTAAATTAAAAGTCAAACTAATTTTTATATTAAGTACGGAAACTAATATTTTTTTTATAAAGATAAATCAATTCAAATAGAGGAAGTAAAGAAGGCTCAAACACGGAAAGTAATGAACGATAGTAGTTTAAAGAAGACAACAAGAAAAAATTAATTAAAAGGAGTGGATGAAATGGTTTAGACGCGTCTATACTATCAGAGCTGTCTATGGAGTGCATTCGAAAAACTATAGGCTGAACAAAAGGATCTGATAAATCACCAGATTACTTTTTGGCAAACATATCGTCGATTTGGGCTTTCTCTTCTCAATTTTATGTCATTTCGTGTTTTTAAATAATAATTACAAATAATTTTTTTCCAATGCAAGTAACTATATTAATTTATTTTTTTTATCCTAACGGATTAGTTAACTATGCCCTATATAAATATAACTATATATATATATATATATTAAGATCATATGAAGTATTTTCTTTAGATCTACATACTCCCTCTGGTCTCATTTAATTTATATAACCAAGTAAAAGTGCATTCAGCCTGACCAAATAAAAAATACATTCAACACTTTAAAATATTTTTTTAAGTGTATTAAGTGTGGTGCTTTTGGCTCAAAAAAAAGTCTTTTTGTGGTGCTCCTAAAATATTTTTTTAGCGTAATTTTACAATTATTAATTTAGCGTGTTACATATACAAAAAAAAAAATTAAAGTGTTCGATGCACATAAAAAAATACTTTTAGAAGTTAGATATACTAAAACATAATTTAGGATGCTTAATGCACTTAAAAAAAATTTTAACGTACTAGATGTATCACAAATATTTAAGATATTGGATGTATCTAAAAAAATATTATTTCTGAATAAATGTTGCTTCACCTAAACTTTTTGTAAGTTAATTCCAACACTTTTCTTTGATACCGAAAAAATATCATAAAATTCATTAACTCTATCTAAAACTAACTATGTTTCCTATTTTACTCATATTAAATACATCATTAAAAAAAGTTTCCTGCTTTCCCACGTTAACATTGAATAAGGATAAAAAATCATAATAAGTAATCAATGGGATGCTTTACAAAAAGCACTATAATGCATTTACATTACAATTTACATTCATTTTATTTGGCGATCCACTGGTGTCATGCATTGCGTCATCAGGACAAACTCAATCAAGACATCTAAATGTTGCTTTGGATTATTAAAATGAGTAATTATATGGGAAAAATGAGTAACTAACAAAGAATTTAAGGTATCCTCTAAATATATATTATAATTTTATAATTACAGAAATAAGCCATAAGTGTTAGTGTTTCTAGTAAAAAAGAAACTTAGGGAGTATATCTATTAATTAATAATATGTGTGGAAGATCCACAAATATTTACCCTCCTTGAATTGCAATCTAGTGATATGTTTCTTTTTACACAATTCAATTTTTTTTTTAAATTTTGATTGAAAAAACACATACTTAAAGTATCTTATAAATAGAATTGAATCGAAAAATATGATAAAAGCCCTATAAAAGCAAAAGTGAGCAGTTTTTTAAGCCCAGCTCATGAAATTCATTTAACTTCAAGGACAACACGAAGGAAAGGATCATGGTCAATCATGCCCGCGGTTTAACTTGGATACAAAAACTATAAAGCGTACAAATCTCTTTCCCTTTTTGATAAATTGACATATATAATGCTCTTCAGCAATCCAAGGAATAGATCTGCAAATTATATGTTTCTTTGCCGCTTCTTCGATGTCTCGCGCTACTTTTGAGATCATTTGTATGACATTAAGTTTGTATAATTAATTTAAATTTTAATAATAAAATCTATTACGATTAATTAATTAATAAAGAAGGACATAGTGCGCCAAGAAAATGTCTTGATGTTTTGTAATAACTTCTAATGGAATTAGTAAAAGGTTTAGCCAATTTAACCAGTAATTCAATTAACAAACTCTGAAGAAAAGATGTCGCATGGGCCACCACACCCTGTAGCTCTGAAATGTTACAAAGCAAAGCTTGACTCGACCAATCAAAATAAGACTCTTGGGAGAGGCATGGTTGTCGAAGATACGATACTCCCTCCTTTTAAAATTTCCATTAACTTCAGGCCACTTGAAATCTAGGCCTATAAATAGGTGACAATCCCTTGCTACCTTCAAACCATATCGTGAGTGAGTGATCATCATGGAAACCTTATTCTGCTCCTATATTCCTAATGTTTTGCTGCTATGTTCTCTCATAATATTCGCAGCCATGATCTCCCAAGGCATGTGGAGAAGCTTGAGCATTCAGTGCAATGAAAGAGACCGCCATCTTCTTCTAAACTTCAAACACACTGTGGTTGATCCATCAGCCATCCTCTCTACTTGGTCTGATGAGCGAGACTGCTGTGAATGGGATGGAGTTCAGTGTGATAACACCACCGGCAGAGTTATGGAGCTCAGCCTCCCATGTTCCCAACAAGATCCCTTTGTTGCTGATTGTGGAGAGAAGAAGCCACGCTGTCTCACTGGTGAGATCCACTTATCATCTTTGCTCCAACTTGAGTTTCTAGATTACTTGGATTTGAGCTTTAATGACTTCCATGCTATCGTTCAAAATGACTATGTGGATGATATCACAGACTGCAATAACCTCTCTGTTGCTGACCGTCCTCATTTTTGCGGAAATTCTTCTATTATGCATTATCTTGATTTATCTTATAATGGTCATCTCGACATAGGTAGTCTTGATTGGCTTTATCGTTTCCCATCCTTGGAATATGTCAACTTCACTGGCATTAATCTTCAAGGGAGAGTTGACTGGATTCAACTACCAACTCTACTTCCTTCACTTAAGGAGTTATCCTTAGAGAATTGCCAGCTTACAAGCATCAATCCATCTCTCCAGTTTGTTAATCTTACTTCTCTTGAAGTTCTCAACCTTTCTAACAATGATCTTAGCTCTGAATTTCCAGTTTGGTTATTCAATCTCAGTGATGTCACTACCATTGACTTGAGCTTTAACTTTTTGCAAGGCCAATTCCCAAAGAGATTATTAAATCTTCAAAAAATAAAAGAATTGAATTTGAATCAAAACAAATTCAATGGACCAATTCCAGATTGGTTAGGCCAACTTGAACATCTACAAGTTCTTGATGTCAGTGACAATTTCTTTTCTGGTCCAATTCCTTCAACTTTGGGAAATATGTCATCCTTGATTGTCTTGGATGTCAGTTCAAATCACTTAAATGGAAGTCTGCCAGAAAGTCTTGGACAACTCTTGAACTTGAAGGTATTCGGTTTTAATGATAATCACTTGATGGGGTATGTGTCTGAAAGAAATTTTGTCAAACTCTCAAATTTGACAAAACTTTACATGGGATCACCGAATTTAATCTCTAACTTCGATTCTCCATGGTGGGTTCCTCCTTTTCAGCTTGAAGTGATTCATTTGGATCACATGGTGGGCTCGAAATTTCCTGCATGGATATATACACAAACATATCTTGAAAGATTAATAATTACCCACTCAGTCATTTCATTTGAACCTCCAGACAAGTTTTGGGACTTTGTAGCACAACTTCCATATATACACCTACAAGACAACACAATTCATGGGGAGATGCCTAACGTGTTGCTAAACTCTACCATCGTAAGATTAAGTTCAAACAACATCAAAGGCAACCTCCCTCGATTATCACCAAATGTTGTGATGTTCACTGCAGCACAGAACTCTTTCCAAGGACCTATCTCTCCATTGTTGTGTCACAAAGTGAATGGGAGAACCCAATTACAGTATTTGGACCTGTCTGATAATCTTTTGTCTGGAGGGCTTACAAACTGTTGGATATATTGGAAATCACTAGTTTTGGTCAACCTAGATGGAAATGATCTAACAGGCACAATCCCCCCATCAATTAGTTTGTTGTCTAACCTTAGCTCTTTGCATCTTAATAAAAATAATTTATTTGGAGGAATACCTTCGTCATTGGTAAATTGCCCAAAGTTGCAGATCCTTGATGTAGGTGAAAATAAATTATCTGGATTCTTAACAAATTGGATGCCAAAAAAGGTAAAGATTCTTCGACTAAGATCCAATCAACTAAGTGGAAGTATACCACCCCAAATATGCCAATTGGCTTCCCTTAGAATATTAGATTTTGCAGACAACAACATATCAGGTTCATTACCTATTTGTCTGAAAAATCTGACAGGTATGACTTTCTGTAATTCTTCAAATAATAGGGCTTATAGAGTTTGCACTAAAACTCTACGTTTGACTTATGTATCACGTGACCGTGTTATGGTGCATATAAAAGGCCAAGGATTGATTTATGATGAAAACCTGATGTTCTTGCATGCTATTGATCTATCAAGTAATAACATCTCCGGATCAATACCTCCAGAAATATTTAGCCTCGCTGGATTACAATCTTTGAACTTATCTCATAATCAACTTGAGGGAAACATACCAAATGAGATCAGCAACCTAAACAACTGGGAGTCCCTTGATCTCTCAAGCAATCAACTTTCGGGTGAAATTCCTCAAGGCATGGCTAAATTATCTTTTCTGGGAACCTTGAACCTCTCCTTCAATAATTTCACCGGGAAGATTCCATCAGGAACTCAACTTCAAGGGTTTGATGCACAAAGCTATATTGGGAATTGTAGAGATATTGTAGGAGATATTATAAGATATGTAAATATCCTGTAATTAGTATATAGGATATGATGTGATATGATTTCATATTAATGAGCCATTAATACCTAGGCTCCTCTATTGTATATAAATAGCCAATCGAAGTATCAATAAAATACACAATTTTCATTCTCTAAATTACATGGCATCAGAGCCAATTTACTAGGGTTAGAAGAAATTTTTTTCTGGCCGCCAGCGTCCGTGCACTGTTCACCAGCATCCGTGCACTGTTCACACGCTACCAGAGGTCCGTTCTCCCGCCATCTACAGTGCACAAGCGCCGGTCAGGGGAGGTCGCAGGGTTCCGATCGGCCAACCACCGGAGTCTCGTCGCCGTCTGAGCAGCGCGTGGCCTTCACGCGCCGTCACCCCGTCCGTGCACTGTTCACGCGCCGTCGCGTTTTGCAGTGTTTTCCGGCGTCGTCTGTCATTTTCCGGCGTCCTCTCTCGGTTTCCGGCACCTTCTGTTGTTCCCCGACCCATCCCTGCTACTTCTACTTCGTGGGTCCCACTGTTTGTTGTGATTCAGAGCAATTTTTTGGCTTCCTGAGAAAGCGTTGGTGCTCTGGTTTGTGGAATTCTGATCTATTTTTTTGTGGTCCCTAGTGTGATCCATTTGACTGATTAGTGTTGTTGTGATCATTATTATCCTAATGGGTGATAACAAATCTGTTGTTTCTGAGGTGGTTCCAGTAGTCACTAAGATTACTGAACACAAACTAACTTGGAAAAATTACCTGGATTAGAGTAAGACTATTCGTATTTATTTTCGGAGTATTGAGAAGGAAGATCACTTGACTGACAATCCTCCTGATGAAAAGGATGCCTCTCGCAAGTCATGGTTAAGAGATGATGCACGACTTCTGTTACAACTTCGTAACTCTATTGACAGTGAGATCATGCCTTCTATTACTCATTGTGAATTTGTTAAAGAGCTAATGGATTATTTGGCCCTCTTATACTCAGGAAAGAACAACATCTCTCGTATTTACGAGGTCTGCAGATCGTTCTATCGGTCCGAGATGCCCGTTGACCGTTCCCTCACAAACTTCTTTATGGATTTTAAAAGCACCTATGAAGAGCTCAATGTTCTTATGCCTATTTCTGATGACAGGAAAGTTAATGTGTCTCACCGCGAGCAGATGGCCACCATGAGTTTTCTGACTGCACTGCCATCTCAATATGCGGCTGCTCGATCACAAATTTTGTTGGGAGCTGACATCCCCTCTCTTGAAGAAGCTTTCTCTCGTGTACTGAGAACTGAACAAAACCCTCCTCAACTCCCATTCCACCTACTAGTGCATTACTCAGTTGAGGCCAGAATGACAATCGAGGGCTCCCTAGTCGAAGTGGTCCGAAACCAGGAGGGGGTAATCAGGAGCCCAAGGAAGTAATATGTTATTACTGCAAGGAACCGGGACATACTAAACGCACATGTCGTAAGCTGCAAAACAAACAACAACGACAGAGCTCTGCCCATGTGGCTACAACAACCAGTGACATGGTTACTATCTCAGCTGCCGAGTATGCTCAATTGAAATCTGCAAATCCCCCCGTGAGCACTGCTAGTGCAACAGGTAATGAGGCTACTACCCTTGTCTCTTCTTCCAACAAATGGATCATAGACTCTGGTGCTACTGACCACATGACAGGTAACCGTCATCTCTTCTCTAGCTATAATTCTTATGCCAACCCTTCTGCTATCACCATTGCGGATGGTTCCCACTCTCGTGTCCTTGGATCTGGATCTGTTAAACCTACTCCTTCTATTCATTTAAAATCTGTACTCAATGTCCCAAATCTTGCTTTTAACCTTTTGTCCCCTAGCAAGCTTACTCGCCAATTAAATTGTTGGGTCTCACTTTTTCCTGACCATTGCTTGATACAGGATCTTTTGACGAAGAAGATTATTGGTAGGGGCTACGAATCTGGCGGGCATTACTTCCTTGATGATCAGGGGTCTCGTGCGGTGGCTTGTACTGGTGGTGTCACTCCATTTGAAGCACATTGTCGTTTGGGTCATTTATCTTTATCCTCTTTAAAAAAGGTTTATCCTCAGTTTCAGCATTTGTCGTCTTTAGATTGTGAGTCGTGTCAGTTTGCTAAACATCATCGTCTACCGTTAGTGTCTAGAGTCAATAAACGGGCTTCGTCCCCTTTTGAGTTAGTGCACTCCGATATTTGGGGTCCGTGTCCAGTTGAGTCCAAAGGTGGTTTTAAATATTTTGTCACATTTGTTGATGATTATTCCCGTACCACTTGGCTATATTTAATGAAAAATCGTTCTGAGCTTTTCTCTCACTTTTGTACCTTTGTTGCCGAAATTAAAACTCAATTCAATACGCTTGTCCACACCTTGCGCAGTGATAATGCTAAAGAATATTTTTCTGAATCCTTTCACTCTTTTATGCTTCAACATGGCATTCTTCATCAATCTTCCTGTGTGGATACACCGGCTCAAAATGGTGTGGCCGAAAGAAAAAATCGCCACTTATTAGAAGTAGCCTGTGCACTTTTATTTCAAATGCAGGTTCCAAAACCATTCTGGGCAGATGCAGTCTCCACAGCTTGCTTTCTTATTAATCGCATGCCCTCCTCTGTCCTTGATGGTAACATTCCCTACACCACTCTCTTTCCTTCCAAAGCTTTGTTCCCTATTGATCCTAAGATCTTTGGCTGTGTTTGTTTTGTTCGAGATGTGCGTCCCACGGTCTCTAATTTGGACCCCAAGTCTCTTAAATGTGTCTTTCTTGGCTACTCTCGAGTTCAAAAGGGTTATCGATGTTTTTCTCCTACTTTGAATCGTTATTTGGTTTCAGCCGATGTCACTTTTCAGGAATCTGTTGCCTACTTTGCACCTAATGCTTCCGCTGCACCTTCTCCACCAGCGGAGGAGGATACCTTTCTGGTATATTCTGTTAGTCCAAGTTTACCACAAGCACCAGCTCCCGTACTGGCACCTGGTCAACCATCTTTGTCTTGGGTCTACACCAGACGTTTGAAGGAAACTACTCCTACTGTTGCGCCACATTCTGCTCCACCATTATCTGCTTCGTCATCTGATCCTGCAGCAAGCATCATGCACCCTGAGCCTGACCCTGCCCCAGGTCTAGATGCCGATCCCTCAATTGACTCTGAGACACCTCCTGTTCCAGATCCAGATCCCTCTCTTAATTTGCCCATTGCCCTTCGCAAAGGTAAACGTACTTGTGCCCATCCTATTTCTTCTTTTGTTTCATATAACCACCTCCCCTCTGTTTCTCGTGCCTTTGTTGCCTCTTTAGATACTATTTCAGTACCTAAGTCCCTTCATGAAGCCTTGTCCCACCCGGGTTGGCGTACTGCTATGGAAGAAGAGATGGCGGCTCTTCATTGTGCTGGTACATGGACCTTAGTAGATTTACCAGCAGGAAAGAAAGCTATTGGGTGTAAGTGGGTGTGACCCCTAAAGTTAAGGCGGATGGTACACTTGAACGCCTCAAGGCTCGCCTTGTCGCAAAAGGCTATGTTCAAAAGTATGGTATTGACTACTCTGAGACTTTTTCTCCTGTGGCCAAGCTCTCTTCGGTTCGTCTGTTTATCTCCATGGCCGCTACCTATAGTTGGGATCTCCATCAATTAGATATCAAAAATGCATTCTTGAACGGTGATCTCCTTGAAGAAGTGTATATGGAGCAACCACCAGGTTTTGTTGCTCAGGGGGAGCGTGGGAAGGTGTGTCGCCTTAAGAAATCACTCTATGGCTTAAAACAAAGTCCTCGGGCATGGTTTGACAGATTTAGTACTGTTGTGAAAAACTTTGGCCTGCACCAGAGTAAGTGTGATCATTCTGTGTTCTATCAGCAAACAAGTGCTGGCATGATTCTACTGGTTGTGTATGTCGATGACATTGTGATTACAGGAAACAATGCCTCGGGGATCTCATCTCTCAAGTCGTTCCTTAACTCACATTTCCAAACGAAGGATCTGGGTTCATTGAAGTATTTTCTGGGAATTGAAGTCATGAGGAGCAAGAAAGGCATCTTATTGACTCAGAGAAAGTATGTTCTTGATCTGTTGAAAGAAACTGGGAAACTAGGGGCTGCCCCGACCAGCTTCCCTATGGTCTATAATCCTCTGCTTGATGCTGATGGTAGCATACCATGTGAAAATCCTGATGAGGCTGCTAAGAGCAAGCCATTTGAAAATCCAGAGAGGTATAGGAGACTGATTGGGAAGTTGAATTACCTTACAGTGACCCGTCCTGATATCACCTATCCAGTAAGTGTCCTTAGCCAATTTATGGTTGCGCCAACTGTCCGACAATGGGAAGCCTTAGAGCATGTGTTACACTACTTGAAGGGATCCCCGGGTCGTGGGATATTGTACAAGAATCATGGTCACACAGACATTGAGTGCTTTTGTGATGCTGATCATGGTGGGTCGAAAGCCACGAGACGATCGACTACAGGATACTGTGTTTTTGTAGGAGGCAACTTGGTGTCCTGGAAAAGCAAGAAACAGAATGTGGTGTCACGATCGAGTGCAGAAGTGGAATACAAAGCCATGGCGCAATCTGTATGTGAGATAGTTTGGATACACCAGCTACTAAAAGAGGTTGGTCTTAAAACCTCGCTACCAGCAAAGCTGTGGTGTGATAATAAAGCAGCCCTACACATAGCTTCGAACTCGGTCTTTCATGAACGAACAAAACATATTGAGATTGACTGTCATTTTATTCGAGACAAGCTCAAGGAAAACTTCATCTCTATAGGACATGTCAGATCCAGCGACCAGTTGGGTGATCTTCTCACCAAAGCTCTCAATGGGGTTCGAGTTGAATATCTTTGTAACAAGTTGGGCATGATTGACATCTATGCTCCAACTTGAGGGGGAGTGTAGAGATATTGTAGGAGATATTATAAGATATGTAAATATCCTGTAATTAGTATATAGGATATGATGTGATATGATTTCATATTAATGAGCCATTAATACCTAGGCTCCTCTATTGTATATAAATAGCCAATCGAAGTATCAATAAAATACACAATTTTCATTCTCTAAATTACAGGAATTATGAATTATGTGGGGATCCACTTCCAAAGAACTGCACGAAACAAGATGACGAACCCGTTGAAGGAAATGACAATCAAAAAGATGAATTTCTATCTTCATTCTACTTTGGGTTGGGGATTGGATTTGCAGCAACTTTTTGGGGAGTCTGTGTTGCCATTTTCTTCAACAGAAATTTCAGGCATTCTTACTTCAGATTCCTCTATCACATCAAAGACAAACTTTATGTCGCACTGGTCCTCAGGATGAACCATTTCCGTCATTGAAGACCTAGTTGGCTTTATGGTGAGTGAAAAACAACTTCTTATTTTTAAGTTTTGACTAAGTTCTTTTAAATGTTATAATATATTCTAGAACTATGAATATCTTATATTATGATCACAAATATATACATCACAAGATCACCATGACATGCTTTGGATTTTATAAATTTAATATTTTGGAGATGTGATACCCTTGTAACTATGTTAAATTTATATAATATGCAGGTTCTTGCCGCGTAATGTATGTTTCTGTAAGTCTGCTCATCAAGTCTTTTAGACTGAACATTGCAAGGTGGGATGAAGTGATGATATTGATAATTCATGAAGGCATATTACCAGTGAAGTGAAGTTTTTAGTTTGTGTTACTTAAAGTCGTGTAATATACATAGTTCTATTTTCTGCATACAATTTGTATCCTCAATAAGTACATGTGTCCTTAACTAAAGGGGAAATTAAAATATTTCTTTTTTAAAAAACAAGAGGAAATTGAATGACCTAAAGTTTTTATATTGACTTGAAAGGGAGTTTAAATGGCCAACGCTGCCGCCATACTCTTATCAAGGTACATATACTTATTTTAAGTATTTATAAGTATTTTTACGTAAGTTGAAATAAAACTTTCATCACATACTTACCTCTTATTCTAATTGAGATGTTTTATACTTAGAAAGTAAATAAATGCATAAAAGTCCTTTTATGGAGTTGATAAGTCACATGGACGCCAAGTGTCCAACCAACTTACACGAGAAACCATCAAATTGAAAAATCACATCAAGATTGGAGCAACAGCGAGCACTTGAAAACATTTTTATTTAGTGACAGATGAAAATTATTGAACTCTTAATTAGAAAAATGATGATGATAAAATGGGTTAAAAAGTCTGTCACTGAATTCATCTTTAGTTTGGCAAATTTCAGATAAATTTATCTAAACTTTTGTCAAATTAGTTTGAGACAGATCCCATCAGAGTTTTTTTCTTTTTTGGGTTCCTTTCTTTTTTATGAAACTTGAAGTTTCACATTAATTAAAACGCGAAGGAACAACAAACAAATCTGCTGTGCTTGGTCCGTACACCCTGCAGAGGTATCTTCTTTTTTGGTTGGTACCAATACGTTATGCCGAAGCATCTTATTGTGGGAAAAATCCCTTCACAAAACGAAGGATAAGAAGAACCTTTCGTAATTCGGTAAGTGAGTTGAGCGCGTAGATTTTCTCTCTCTTGGATTCTGTGCCAAATCGAATTTGACCTCATGGAAGAACCCGGCTGCCAGAAAATGCCTCCGGACCGCGAGCTAGATGACTGTAACAAAGTGGTGAGTGCAAAAAAATCGAAAAAGGAGATCAAGGAAGACACAATAATGTCAGACAAGATGGAGGATGCTGAAGGATGCTTCGAGGAAACACAAGCTCAAGACCCACAACAAAAACAGAAGTCAAGTCCCATTTCTTACAGAGACTCGCTGTTGGGATGTAAAAAACAGGGTTTTAATGGAGTTGCAAATGGGTGTTCAGGCATGGAGGAGGACACACTCATCTCGGATGTCCTGGACCAGACATGGAGCTTACCAGAACCCTCTGAAGAACTTAAAAAGCTAATGGAGGTATACCCGGTAATGCCAATCACGGAAGAAGAGTTTAATGATGAATGTAAGCAGTGGAATAATGCCTTGATTATCACAGTACTGGGGGCACGATTTAATCTATATAAGCTCAGGGAGCATTTGGGTAGAATCTGGGGATTTACCGACTTTGAGTTAGTCGATCTGCCGAACAATTATTATGTGGTCCGCTTCAACAATGATGAGAGTTGGGGTGGGAAGTATAAGCGAGTACTCTTTGAAGGGCCATGGGCAGTGGCGCAGCACAGCATTCTAGTACAGAAATGGTCCCCGTATTTCGACCCATTCCACAACCCATTGGGACGAATTGCCACCTGGGTGAGAATACCAAATATTCCCTTACATTGCTACTCAAAAAAATTCATATGGCGAATCGGAGATATGATAGGGAGAACGCTCAGGGTGGATATGAATACCATAGCAAACTTAGAGGAAAGTAGAGCCAAGGTGGAGCGCGGCCGGTTCGCCCGCATATGCGTGGAAGTAGATCTCCAGAAGAAGCTGATCCCTCGAATCATATGTACATCTGCCCTTTTTAATGTGGAGTATGAGGGGTTGAATCTTATCTGCTTTGAGTGTGGAAGATATGGGCATACAAGGGATGCTTGTCCCTGGAAACCATCGTCTCAAAAGGTGCCAGAGACGGCACCAAAGACCAGTGATCAACCGCGTATGTCGCCGGCCAAAACTCTACCGGAGGAAGATGAACACTTCGGCCCCTGGATGTTGGTGAAAGGAAACAAGTCATGATTTCCGAGGGCTGACAGAGAGAAGGAAAAGGCGTCAACCTCAGGACAGAAATCAAAAATTGACAGGAAAGGAAATATGAGTACCTATAAGTCGAAATATGCGGCTATCGCAGACCTGGAAGAGGAAGATGATGGAACAACAGAGCTGACTAGTGGAGATGTAGGGGGGCAAACTTCGCCGACTACTAAGCAGAGGGCGCTAGTCATATATGAGGGAAGTACAGGGGGTCCTAACAGACCCGTGACAAGCTTGGGTGCAAAGGGTAAGGCAAAGGTGAAAATGAATCAGAAGGTCCTACCCAGCAAGGTGGGCCGGGGAAAGGAGAACACGAAGCCCAAAATGGCAGAGGCCCAAAATAGTACCAGAGAAGCACTCGTGAGATCTGGGGAAACCAGTAGGACCCAACAGTGCAAGCCAAAGCCCAGCCAAAAAATCACAGCCCAACGTACACATTCAGTGGTAAGCGGTGACTTATCTTCTGTGGAGACTAACATCATTGTTGACCAGAACACGCAGACGGACTTGATAACAGTGAAAGAACGGATGCCCACAGTGAAGAAAAACTGCAGTCAGAGCATAGCGCCTACTATCGGTAATGAGAACAGGGAAGGATTGATGGAAGAAAAGTCAAGAGAAGTAGTTTCTCAAATTGAGGCAGAAACATGTGTGGAACCTAAAGCCAATGTCCAACGATTATCGCCAGAAAGAGGGAAGGAAGACAAAATGGGGGAAGAAAACAAACCCCCAGACATGTAAGTTTTTCGGTTCTCCCTTACCTCGTGTTCAGTATCTAATGATTGTCTCTTCATGGAATTGCCGTGGGGCTGGTAATAGATCCTTCCCACGAATTCTGAAAGATGTAATAAAGAAATATGGTATAAATGTTATGGGCCTCCTTGAGACTCGAATAAGTGGTGACAGGGCTGACAAAACGATCAGGAAGTTGGGTTTTAATAATTGGCTCAGAGTTGAAGCTACTGGGTTTGCTGGAGGGATTTGGGTGCTATGGAATGACTGGGAAACCTCTGTGGAATATATCTGGTCAACTACTCAGCTCCTCCACTGCAAAATTACTGATATGGCTTCTGGGAAAAGTATGTTAACTACTTTCGTCTATGGAGACACAACAGTAGCGAAAAGGAAATATCTCTGGGAAGCTCTAAAGAAGGTAGCAGAGCTGGCCAACCATGCGTGGCTAGTTTTGGGAGACTTTAACTCGTTTCTCACTCCAGAAGACAAAATAGGAGGAGCCCCTCCGATAAGTCAAATGATGGCACACTTTAGTAATTGCCTAAATGCTTGTAATCTGCTTGAAGTTCCAGTCGTGGGGGATTCTTACACGTGGGAAAAAGAGGGGGTTAGAGAAAGATTAGACTGGGCATTTTGTAATTTTGACTGGGAAATTTCCTACCCTCATTTTAAGTGCTTCCATCACCTCAGATTCAAGTCTGATCACAGGGTCATAGTGGTCTCGGGAGATACTAACCCCAAGAAGACTGGTCCGTCGTCCTTCATGTACCAAGCCGCATGGTGTCTTGAGGAGGGATTCAAGGATTTAGTTAGATCATCCTGGGAGAACCGCCAATGGCAGGAAGGGCAGCAAGTCTTCACTAAACACGCAGGTAGTTGGAATGAGAAGACTGTGGGAAACATTCCAAAGAAGAAAAAGGAAATCGTCAGAAGGTTAGAGGGCATAGACAAAGCGAAAATCAATAATCCACGCAATGGACTTTTTCGATTAGAGCAAAGTCTATGGTGTGATTATAATAAATTAAGCCAACAAGAGGAGTTGATCTGGTTCCAGAAGTCAAGGTGCCAATGGATTCGGTTTGGAGATAAGAATTCCCGCTTCTTCCATGCAACCTGTATGATGAATAGGAAAAGAAACAGGATTGAAGCCCTAAAAGATGATGCTGGCAATTGGACGTCTGACCAGAAGAAAATGAGCAATATGGCGATAGATTACTTCAGAAGCCTATACTCTAAAGATCCAAATGTCAGTCATATTAATACATGGCCAGTGGATTTCCCCTCACTCTCCACAAGACAACTTGATGACATTCAGAAGGAGGTTTCTGTGGTGGAGATAAAAAACGCAGCATTTGAAATGGGGGCCTTCAAAGCACCAGGACCAGATGGACTGCATGCTCATTTCTTTCAGTCTCAATGGGATGTCGTGGGACCGAAAATCTGCACTATGATCTCCACCATGTTCGGTAATCCTTCGACTATCAGGGAGATAAACCAAACGAAGATTGTGCTGATTCCTAAGGTAGATCATCCTACCTACCTAAAGGACTTCAGACCCATATCTCTGTGTAATGTCTGTTACAAAATTCTGAGTAAGGTGATAGCCAACAGATTTAAGGGGGTAATGGATTTATTGATAAAACCAAATCAGAGTAGCTTCATCAAGGGTAGACAGAGTTGTGATAATATTATCATAGCTCAAGAAGCAATTCATACAATGAGAACCAAAAGAGGTGGGAAAGGTTTTGTAGCAGTTAAAGTTGATATGGAAAAAGCTTATGATAGGTTGGATTGGAATTTCCTCAATTTTACCTTAGGAAGTATCGGTTTGAGAGGAGATTTTGTTCAAACCATTATGGGATGTGTTTCAACCGCCACAATGAAAGTGTCCTGGAATGGTATTCAATCTGAAACCTTCGTGCCAAGCAGAGGGGTTAGACAAGGTGATCCACTAAGTCCCTATCTGTTTGTTCTCTGCATGGAGAGGCTAGGGCAACTAATAGACTTTGAAGTCAGACAGGGTAACTGGAAACCTATGAAGTTGAGTAGTCGAGGGCCTATGCTATCCCACCTATTTTTTGCAGACGATCTGGTTCTCTTTAGTGAAGCCTCCGAGGAACAAATGAATGAGATCAGAAAGGTGATGATGTTTTTCTGTAAAGTCTCTGGTCACAACATAAACCTCCAAAAATCTAAAGTTTTTGTTTCAAGGAATATACATGCGACTAGAGCAAACCTATTCAGTCAAGTGTTAGGCGTTAACTTAACAGCTGATTTGGGGAAATATTTGGGGGTGCCGATTCTGCATAAAAGGGCAGTTAAATTGACCTTTGCGCCAATCATACAAAAAGTCAACCGTAAATTGGCAAGTTGGAAAAGCAAGTATTTGAGTTTGGCAGGGAGGACTATACTCATCAAATCGGTGTTGTCCTCATTACCGTACTACCAGATGCAAACTCTTCTCCTCCCAGTTGGGGTTCTTCAAGAGATTGAAAGGTTAAGCAGGGAGTTTTTCTGGAGACAGGACTCAAACAGTAGGAAACTGCACCTCATATCTTGGAAGACTATTAAGAATGAGAAGAAGGCTGGGGGATTAGGGATTCGGGACTTACAGTATCAAAATTTAGCGTTCATCATGAAACTGTGCTGGATGCTTCTCACTCGACCGGAAGTGTTTTGGGTTCAATGTCTGAGGAACAAGTATCAGTGCGGAGTAGGTAAATACCCTACAGTGGAAAAGAAGAGGAAGCAGTCAGCAGTTTGGCAGGCTATAACTTCAGTTTGGGAGAAATTTACTGAAGGAGTAGGAAGGAAGATCGGTAATGGTAGAAATACAAATGCCTGGAACGAACTATGGACTCCGCTGGACAGGCCGCTTATACATTATGCAGTCAGAAACTTCCACCTTATTGATGCGGAAGCCACGGTGGACCACTATATCACAAGTAGTGGAAATTGGGACATTGATAAGTGGAGAGAGATACTCCCAAGCTGGGTCATCAGGAAAATTTGCCTTGTAAAGCTAACTCGGCAGGAGAGAGATGATACCTTCTATTGGAGATTGTCGAATGATGGGGACTTCAATGTCAAATCTGCGTACCGACTAGTCAAAGCAGAAAGCAACCAATCAGAAATCAATAGTACTCAGTGGCAAAAGATCTGGCGATGGGACATTCCTGAGAGAGTCAAGTTCTTCCTTTGGCAGGTCATCCATGAGAGAATCCCCACAAATGCCTTAAGAGCGAGACACTGTTCTACTACTCAAACTGAGTGTCCTTATGAGTGTAATAGTGAGGAAACCACCATTCATGCCTTGAGAGACTGTGAGTTTGCAAAAAGAGTTTGGTCTTTGTTCATTAACCCCCGTAATACTTCTATGTTTTTTAGTGGAAATTTGCAGGTTTGGTTGAAGAGAAATCAGAGGATCAATCTAGGAGCGAGAAGGCTAACACGCTGGCCGTGGAATAAAGTCTTCGCAATGGTTTGTTGGCTAATTTGGAAGAGCAAATGCAAACAAGCCTTCGAAGGAGTGCATCCTCAACCCAGAGAAGTATATCATCATTGCTTGCACCAACTGATGGAAAGCGTGGAGGAAAATAGACTTAAGCACCAGATTTATCAACTATCTGATAGAGCAGGTTGCAGATGGAAGGCACCACCCCAAGGAGTAATCAGAATTGATGTCGATGGCTCGGTCACAAGTCAAAAGCATGGCGCATGTGGAGGAGTTGTTCGTGATGAAAGAGGACAGTGGCTGATGGGATTCCAGAAATGCCTAGGATTCACATCAACCACAGTAGCAGAGCTTCAAGCGATATATGAAGGTCTGAAAGTCTGCAAAGATATGGAGCTTGCACGGGTTAAACTGTATACTGACTCTTTGGAAGCCGTTAACTTACTGATGTTAGACTGTAGCGCCACTCATCCCCTAAAAGAGATGGTGAACGAGGCAAGGGCTCTAGTACTCTCCTGTTGGGACCTTGAGATTATTCATACACACAGAGAAGCACTCAAGTGTGCTGATATCCTAGCCAAAAATGCACACAATGTCAGTAGCAATGGAATGTATTACCAGGAACCTATCAGCTTATGCCAAGACCAATTGAGACTTGACTGGGAAAGCTCCAACCAGGGAGCTGCGTCGCCTCTTAGTGGTTAATGTTTTCTGTTTTGAACCTTCAAGTGTAATGCTTGCCTTGTAATTCAAAAAAAAAAAAAACGAAGGATAAGAAAAAGGGGCCACCATCATG